TTTTCGAAGAGCTTGTCTTCATTACTTTCAGCTTCCGGACGTTTTGAAAGGCGTGCTTGAAAAATTCCGTACAGAGTTCGATGCAGCAATGAATCATTTTGTCAGTTCCACAATGGTTTATGAGGGGACAGCTCTAAATCCCTTTGCTGCGGAAGTTTTGGGCGCAGATCAGAGAGGAAGTTCGGTGAGGAGAAGTGTTTTCTTGCATTTAAGACTTTCTCACAAAAGTCAGGTTTTATTTTTAATCACATCGAAGAGGAGTCAGCTTTTCAGGGTGGAGACGCAAATACTGGTGAAGCCGCACCCGTGCTAACTCCAAATTCATCGGGGCTTACTGAAGATGTACGGGATGTGCCCAGGTCTGTTTATCGCTCAATATACGTTTGTATTACTTTAGTTAAAAAATTTTAGTAGGACCAAATACTTTTTGTTGTTCATACTCTTCGAAGTATTGTTGGATGATATTAATCATCTGGACTCAAAAACTTTGCATTGATTAGTGGTTTCCATTTTTTGGGAAAAGTAATAGCTATAAGTCGTTCTCTACTCCTCAGTTCCAGGACTTTATCTATGCTAGAAAGAAGAACTCGACAGTTGCGCGCGATGCAGCAACAGTGCAGCGCTTTGCGTCGGCGCAGGCTTCATGAGCGGTCCAGAGATACTCACGGCACTCGTAATAGTTTTCGCAATGATCGAGAGCGTCTTGAGGCGAGTTATAAAGCGATTCTATGAATTGCAATAATATGGCTGTTGATTACAGCGACTTCGAGAGGAGCTCCGAAGTGATCTTTACGAGACGGATCGCGATTTAGAATCCCGCGAACGTTTAGGGAGAGCCGAGCGATCAGTGCAGCCACCGCTGCCTACCGGAGCACAAACATCTTCTTCCTCTACTTCATTGGCTGTTCCATCTCGTCCGAATAGGGTATGTTTCCTATTTGAGTAATAGAAGTTATGCATTAATTAAGGGTGCATTACTAGAATGTTCTATGTTCAATACAGAATCAAATCATCTATTTTTATCATGGGAAAGGCCATATCCGGTCAAAATTATTTTATTCCGTATTTTTGTTTTGATAAGTTTGCTTCTTCAGCGGGAGGAAAGAAGGCGCAGCAATAGCATCGAAATTATCTCGCCTAGTCCACCTGCTGTCGCCGATTTGGAGCAGCGTGCTGGCCGGGTTAGTTTTGGAGTAGTTTGTTGAGTTAGAATTGAAGGGTGGGGTATAGTAGGTGCTTGTTGCTCTGTCTTCAGTCTTAGTGATGATCCCGTATTTATGTGGATTTTTGGGCATTTCTTTGCTAGAGTTTATCTTGTTGTCTTTTTTAGCTCATCATCACACCTGAACGCCGTCATCCAAAGCGCGAGGAGCAAGATGAGGAGCATAGCCCAAACAGTTCCGCTGTTAGTGTAAGTATTTTTATCTTAAAATAGCTTTGGTCATCTCTTCGGACAGATGACTCGATAAGAACATTTTTGTAGGGGAGATGGCGTATGCAATCAAACTGGGGGGTCTGCAGAATGGGATTTTTATCAGCTACAGGCTTTTGATATGGTCTTTTCCCCCAATGCGGCCTTTCCCCCTTTGTGATGTTTTTATCTATTTTCTCGCCTAGCACAAAAAAAACTTTCCTGCGAAGTGAGACGAATTGCGCTGCTAATCCCATAATAGTTTTTTTTTTTGTTTGAATTCTTTCACTAGAAAAAAGCTACTATGCTTAAAATAAAATATGGCAGCTATAGTCACTCAAATGACTCTTAGTTCTAGTAATCACAGCAAGAGACACTTTTCAGACTAGAATCACTGGTAAGCATAGAAGAGGATTGGACTTGTTGAAGACTGGTGATAATAGCAGTTCAAATACGGATGACTCAGAGCCCACAACCTCAAAAGGATGCACGGCGTCACGCACTCGCCCCAGCAAAAGGAAGATTGGAGTTACAATGTACTCAAGTGAACGTTTTGATGAAATGCCAGTATCTGCTTTCTTTACAGAATTCGCTTTCCGACGCACCCAAGTGAGCCAGGACCGTCATATGTCTCCGAAACTCATGAAGAACCAATGGTCGGGGATACGGTTGAGAACCAGGCGGAGGAAGCTGGAGATAGCAATGAAGCTGATAATATCAAAGTTTTCTCAGAGCATATGTATTGATTTCTTTACAATTCGTGGCAATATCAAATAAAGGTTTCTACATGTCTAGATGCTGTCGAATGATCTTGCTGGCACATGTGGTTCATCGTACTTGACTGTTTTGTCCCACAGTATCGAGGACTTTTTGGATATTGATCCACTTAACAGGCGCCAAAAACTTAAAATCACGGATTTCGCTGAAATTTGGCCCAGGGGGTTATTCGACCCGCTGATACCGAATATCATATTCATTTTGTACGGTAGCTCCATCTTCTCGGGTTACGGTTGGTATAAGGTAAGGGGCCAAAATCATGGATTTCTCTGAAACTTGGTCTAGGGGTGTTATTTGACATGCCGATCACTAATAACATGCTCTTTCTGCATTTTGGAGCCTTTCCGTAAACCGACCGCAACTTCACGAAGGCTCTAAAATGCAGAAAGAGCATGTTATTAGTGATCGGCATGCCAAATACGTGATTTTGACCACCTACCTACCCACCGTAACCTCAGAAATCGGCGCTAAAGTACGAAATAAATATGATATTCGATATTAGCAGGTCGAATAC